TGAGTCTTGATTGGGTGTCTACGTCTTTGCGCAATTTCTGTTTCACAGAAAATGTGCAAAGAGGGGCAGCTGTAGACACCCAATTGGGTCCAGGCCCAGATCAATTGGGCCTGGCCCAAATGGGTAAGCCCAATTCAATTTGTATCTTGTATTATTTTTAATTTTTTTCTTTTGTATTTTATGTATTTTATTATTATTATTATGTATTAATATATGTATATCTTTATTTATTTATTTATTTATTTTGTTGTTAATATTTATATGTATTTTATTTATATAGTTATATTTATTATTATATTATAATTTATTTATTATTCTTTTTTTCTTGTAATATTTTTTGGATTTATCTTATTGTATTTCTAATTATCTGTTAATAATTTTTTTTCTTTTCTTGTTCCGTTTATATGATTTTTGTTTATCTGATTATTATATTATTATTATTATTATTTTTTGTTTTCTTTTTTGATGGCTGTGATTGAAAGTTGAAGAATCCCATTGTGAATGGGAATTCAATCAGAAGAGTCCAGATTGGATTCAAAGATTAAATCCCCGTTCAAGGAGGAATTGGGATTGATCAGGAACTCTTCATCAATCCCTATAAAAGGGACCCTCTGGGAACAAAAGTAGTGACAGAAAAAATAGTGAGCAAAGCTATTAATTTGAGAGAAAAAGAGGCGTATAGAAAGCTAAGAAAAGGTTTATGAGTGTTCTGCGAGTTAGCAGAATTTTTTTTTTGAAGATTTTTTGACGATTTTTTTCTGGGAATTTCTGGAAAATTCCAGATTCTGGTTGAATTTTCCGACGAAGTTTGAATTTTTCAGCGAAGATTTCGACCAAATTTGAAGTTTTCGACGAGCTGCCTAGTTTTCGGCGAAGAATTCCAAAAACCAACAACCTTCCGGCCAACTTCCGACGAAATTTTCCAGATTCCGGTGACAATTTCCAGAATCCGACGAAATTCAACCGGAGTTCTTCAGCCTTTAGAGAGAAGGGAGAGAAAAAGGGAAGAAGAGAGAGAGAGGGGAGGAGCTTTCTTCCGAAAAACAGAGGGAATGACCTTATATACCCTTTCAAAACGACGTCGTTTTGGCCTTAAGTGACCTAGAGGATCCGCACGTTTTGTCGAGACCCGACCCGACCTGAGCGTCGACCCGTTTCCTGACCCGTGCGTGTTTGCCCCCCTCTGAGTCAAGCAGAGCCAAGCCGAGCTTCCCAAGCCGCCCCCGAGCCATTTCTCTTCCTTGAGCCGAGCCGATAGCCGAGCCGCTCCAGGTTTTTTTTTGGAATTTTATTTATTTATTTATTTATTAGATTAGATTTATTTAATATTTTTTATCTTTATCTTATTTTTATTTTTGTTTTACTTTTCTTTATTTTTTTTATCTTTATTTATTTTCACTTTTATTTTGTTCTATTTTCTTTAAATAAAAATCAAAAAAATATTTTTGGGAAAAAGTTGAAAGTATCAATTTTCCTTGAAAATCAAAATTTTCAAAAAATATTTTTAGGGAAAAGTTGAAAGTATCAATTTTCCTTAAAAATAAATTTTCAAAAAAGGATTTTTGAGGAAAAGTTGAAAGTATCAATTTTTCTGTATCAATTTTTCTTAGAAATAAATTTCCAAAAACTATTTTTGGGAAAAGTTGAAAGTATCAATTTTCCTTAAAAATAAATTTTCAAAAAAAGATTTTTGAGGAAAAGTTGAAAGTATTAATTTTCCTTGGAAATCAAAGTTTCAAAAAAAAAATTTTTGGGAAAAGTTGAAAGTATCAATTTTCCTTGAAAATCAAAATTTTCGAAAAATATTTTTAGGGAAAAGTTGAAAGTATCAATTTTCCTTGAAAATCAAAGTTTCAAAAAAAAATATTTTTGAGGAAAAGTTGAAAGTATCAATTTTCCTTAAAAATAAATTTCAAAAAAGTATTTTTGGGAAAAGTTGAAAGTATCAATTTTTCCTACACAAGAACAATCATTCTTTCCTTCCTTTCTATTTTGATTTTGATTTTGATTTTTCTTTAACTAATCCGATGATACAGCTTCTGCAAGTGAAATAGTAGTTTTCTTGCATACTCATGAGGTGAGGGAATTTTCTCAATTTTTTGCTAAAAGTATTAGAGTCAATTAAGAATAGTTTCAATAGTTAATTACTTGGTAAAATTTTAAGGCTCATTGGATAACACAAATTTAAGCTGGTACCATCTTTTGATGGGCGTTGTGAGGGTGCTATAACCTTCCTCACACGTAATCGAATTCCCGAACCCTGTTCTGGTTAGTAGACCTGAACCTATTCTTTTAAAGGTCCTTAAACTTAGGCGTTCCCTAAAAGGACAGATTCTTTAGGTGATCAATCGCATCTAGATAAAAAAGATTGGTGGCGACTCCCTAAAAGTCAATGTCTAGCAATAGATCCCCGGATCTAGACGTTATGACAACTATAATATAATATCAAATAATATAAATACACAAACTAAAACAAATCGACCTAACTGACCTCGGACACGTATGGGTGTCTACAAAGAGTATTGCAACTCAAGGAATTCAGCTTCAATTAAAAAAAAGGATAAAAATTAGAAACATATGGTAATTAATAATAGTTTAATCATGAAGAATTGATTTTAACTTATTAAAATCTTCAATACCTGTAAAGTCTGGAAGAGTTCTTCCATTAGTGAACGTACCGGTCAAGTGTTCGCCAAAATTCAGGCCGTAAGGTGGGTAATTTGCCTTGGCAACAGTTGGAAGAAGATTGTTGTTGCCACTGTCAAACAATGAATCTCCGAACACATACAGAGCCGGTACAAGAGGCTTACTGTGAATTAGCAAGAAGATATGAAGGAAAGCAACTAAGAATACGTTCGACGAAATCAAGTTGCTCCTCTTCTTTCCAAATGAAAATATTATTTGTGTAAGAAAAAGTTAGAAGAGTGGAACATCAAGGCCAATTGAGCTTGAAAAGAGTGGAAAAAAAATTTGATTATCAGTCGCAATGATGCATAGTTTTTTTCCCCTTAATGCATAGATTGTGGTTTAATCTTTTGACCTGAAATCAAATCAAGCCAGCCAGCATTTTCTTCTTCAGCGGAGAAAATATTTTTAATGACCAAGTATGCCAAGAATAGGACACAACTGAAATGAAAGTACAACCAACACCATACAGAATTTCATGAGTATCACATGAATTTTTTTATTTTTTATGAGATTTAATAATTAATTTGAAATTGTTTCATTCGAATTTTGTTTCTGTTTTCACTTCTATAATTATCTGCATCATTAATTATTGCATTCAAAGGAAAAAAAAAAATCACAACAGAAACTTATTTTAAATTACTGACGAATCAAATCGGATTATCAATCATATTTGACTCTTCATAATAATTAATTATTCATCAAGATATATCATTTCGTGTTCAAGGATGAGATTAACCTCTTTCCAAGTAACAACAACTTGAGTATTTTAACTGATTCATTTTAAGCATTATAATACATATAATATCTAATTTGCATAGGCATCACTTAAGTAAAAAAAAAGCCTTGCATTAGTTGGCAAACGAGTTGGCCATGAACGTGCTGAAAATGAGATGAGAACCCTACTATCTTCCACGTAAAAATCATGATTATCTCAAATAGTATTTAATAATTCCAAAAAATAATAGTAACAATTGTGTCACATCGCCACGAAAAGAAGTTAATAATGGTGCAACGGACTGCTTTTTTTTTTTTTAATAATTCAAATTTTGTTTATCATCCAGAGAATTCACAATTAACCATTAAAATCTAGCAACTATATATTTTCCAAATTAAAATTGATAATCCTGTGATCGAATTATTGTATGCATCTTCACGTCTTAATTAACTAGCTGCTTTAAATTAAGAGGAAGCAAACAGTACTGTCATTGATGCAATGACGTGCTATTGCTGAATAGAGTGTTTCGTTAAGATGACAAGCACAAAAATGGTACGTCGCTTTCATATTTTTTTTATTATATTATTATACTATATTTAAAATTATCAAATTATTATTAAAAATTATTTAATCTATATATATATATCATGGATAGAAAAGACTTAGATAAAATTTTTAGATGCAATTTTTTATTAAAAATAATTAAATAAAAATCAGAATTAAAACTCAAAATCGATAAAATAAAAATTTTTGTCATATAGATCAAATAAATACATTTTTAAAAAAATTAATAAATTATGATATATTTTTTAAATAAGTATTTTTAGTGAAAATTTGACATTAATTTTATCATTAAATAAATATTAATCAAATTCAAATTATAAATAATATTTTCATTATTTTTTACATATTATTAATTTTTTATTGAATTTTATCAATTTATCGTTTTAAAATATTTATTATAATTTTATTAAATTATTTTTAATAAAAATTCTACCAACTGTATTTAAAATATTTTATTTAAATATTACTCTCGTGGATATGGCAATTGTACATATTTTTCCCTTTGCATGTGCCGATTAAAAAGGATAAAGTATAAATGTTTTCTTTTATTACTTTTGTTTTCACATAAATAATTATTGATGTTAACATTCTTGTGATGTGATTAGATGAGATATTTTTTTTAAATGTTGCATGATTTCTTTCACTGCAAGTACTGGCCATGATTTTGATAATTTTTATAGTCAACAAAAAATTTATTTTGCTGCTATCTTTGGACGGTAAGTGATTGAAGTAAGTAAGAAAAATATCTAGGGCTAGCAATGGAAATCAAAAGTTCAAAGCAGTGTAGATATGTAGGGTGGCATGCACCTAGGTTTGTCAAAAGTCATTACTCATTATTCGGATTAGTGTCAATTATAGGTCTACTGCCAGCGGAACATACTGCATCTTCCTTCAGTAGTGCATTTGTTGTGAGATCCATATATACTGCACCTTCCCTTCCCCTCTCCTTCTCTTCACTTCAAAATTCTTAAAATCTGTAGCGATTGTCCCGTCTTTCTTTCTCACACAACAGTTTGAAACTTTTAGCACCTCAATGGCTTTCATTTTTGCTAGTTGTCTTGGTTTGCTTAGTCTGTTTTTTCAGTGCTTCTATGTCATTCATATTTATTCTGAATCTTATTTACCACCTGATTTCAAGATAATCAAACTGCCTTCCTCCAATATCTAGCTTCCGAAAATTTGTCTCTTCGATTGCCAGCTCTATATGTTTTTGGAGACTCGTATATAGATGCTGGTAATAACAATTTCCTTGACACAATAGCCAAAGCCAATTTCTTACCATATGGCATTGATTTTGGAGGAGTGCCAACCGGTCGTGCCACCAACGGGAGAACCGTTGTGGATTTTATTGGGACAGGGATTGTAATTTTTTTGTATTCCATGCTGCTAGTTGCTTACTTTATATTGGCAAAAATATGATTTTTGGTTCATGTTGTATTTCTTGTAAGTTTGCTTTTCTCTGATTTCTGATATTCACTTTTAATGATGAAGCTCAAGTTGCTGGCCTGCCATTTCCACCCCCAATGCTCGGATTGTCTGAAACCGAGAGGAAAATCTTTGTTAGTGGTGTAAATTATGGCTCCGGTTCTAGCGGGATACTGCCTCTGCCTCCTCCTGCTGTGGAAATATTTGTGAGTTATCTTAGCCACAAAAATAAATTTGCAATTTTTCTTGCTTCAAGTTATTTTTCCTAATCACTGTGTGAAATTTAGAGTACCAAAACTTAAACTTCTGAGTACAATTGACCTTTTGTATATAATACTACACCAGGGACATATTTTGAGCTTCGATGAACAAATAGAGTTGTTGAACGACACAACAAGAAGCTTGAAGGGTCATTTTGACAGCCCTGAAAGCTTTTCTCTTACCTGTCTAAGTCATTGTTCTTTATCCACATAGGGACCAATGACTTAGGCATATATTGGGATCTTGAACAAAAGCGAAAGTTCCGAACTGCAGAAGATTATGCACTCTTCTTATCGGAGGAGTTGTCCGGTAGATTGGAGGTAAATGACTGTTTTAAATTTATCTTTACATAGTATTGAAATTGTATATTCAATTTTATACATTTTTAATGATCATGATGCAGGCAATATACCAACTGGGAGCAAGGAAATTCCTGGTTAACAATGTTTCTCCATTAGGCTGCCAACCTTTCAATCTGAACACAAAAATGCACAATACTTCCTGTGTTGAAGATGTTAACCAGAGAATAGCTTTCTACAATGGACTCCTTCCCAACTTGTTGACAAAGTTGGAAACATCCTTGAAGGGTTCCACATTTGTGCTGTGTGATCTATATAAAGTGTTTGAAGATGTTTACACTCAACCAGCAGCATATGGTGAGAATTGTTAGGAAAAAGAATACCACACCAAAATTTTCTCTCTTATTTAATAAAATATTATGAAACATTTAGTTCATTTGTTCTTTGTTAATGCAGGGTTTACGAATGTCAATGGTTCTTGTTGCATTGACGAAGCGAGGAATGGAACTAGAGGATGCGCCAGAAATGTTGCTCCTTGCGCTGACAGAACGAGCCATGTCTTCTTTGACCCATTCCATCCGACCGAGAGTTTTCATTTCATTTGGATGAGGCGCTTTTTGAAGGACCACTCTGTCTGTTCTCCATTTACCTTGTTTGAGTTAATGCAACTTTAAGGATTTCTCTAGGAGTACTGTTTATATACTTTCAGTTAATTTCGAATGATTTAATTTTAAGAATGTAGTGAAACAATGTTGTTGGAAGTTGTGTTTTAAAGCTTATCAGATCACACTCTCATTACTCATTGTCTTTTAAGTGGTTCAAGTCATTTCACATTGTTGCAAATATGATGCTTTATTCCCTTTTTATGCTTAGCTTGATGCGAACAAATCATAGATACCATCAATCAGTTACTTTTGAAGCAGCCCCTGCTCAAAAACAGACCCAGCTGCTAATAAATATTCTAATTTGATTCTTAGTCTTCTCTTTGGCATAACTAGATTTTAGGCAATTTGCTAATTTTTTTTTCAATAATTAAAATTCTTTTATCAGAAAAAAAAAAAAAAGCAGGGAAAACTTGCTACAAAGAGCAATGGAGTTGTACCATGACAGGTTACAAAACCAAAAGAAAAAAGACAACTGCATCATCTGAACAAACCAATTAGCTATCTACTCTTCAATCTGAAAACCAAATGACTGGTTTGACACTTTAAAGTCTTCATACCCCACTGAAATTCTTCACCCAATCCCCAGCCTGTCTTGTCAACAAGGAGACTTGCAACACTTTTTAATAAAAAATTAAAAGTAAACACTTTTTACGCTTTTTATGCTTTCTCGGACTGAACTTCTCAACAATGGATATTTTAATAAAAATTAAGGTAAAGCAATTAATGTATACTGATCTGGTTCATGAATAACATAACTAAGCGGTCTTTTATGTTATTATCAATGGACAGCCAAGAAAGACAACATGCAATTCTTCTTATTGAATTAAGCATTTCTTTCTCTTTAAAGGAAAAAAGGAAAAAAAAAATTGAAGGGCCAAGTCTTACTATGAAATTTATTCTGTTATGTTGGCATTAAGAAAGCATAAGACACATGGTCAGATTTAAGATTGTATTAGCTGAATCAAGTTGATGGGAGAAGAAACTGATGAATCCTTTAAGAGACGCCTTGCCCATATGAAATGCATACTCTCGCTTGGGTGCATTGGGTCGAAGAAAACATGGCTACTTCTGTCTTTGCATGGTGCTACATTTGCAAGACATGGTTTAGTTAAACCTTTATCTATTTCAGTACAACAACTGCTCCTTACATCGGTAAATCCTGCAGAAAAAAAAAGAAAAATATATCTTTTAATCTCAAATGTTAAAGCAAAAGAATTACTAAGGTTTGATCCCAAACACCAAATTTGATGGAACATTTAATTACTTACAATTAAGTAAATCTATTTTCAATCACAATGTCAATTTGGGCCTAAATATTGAATAATACTCACCATACCAGGTAGGCGATGCATAGACATCTTGAAAAATTTTATATAGATCTCCAAGAACAAATTTTGATCCCGAAAGGGTGGATTGCAAGTCTTTTAATAAATTAGTCAGGCGTTTGTTAAATAACAATGCCCGGTTGTTGGCTAAGTAGTCGCATTCTGGTCCATTCCTACCTCCACTTATTAGATGCGGCTGACATCCTATTGGAGATGCATTATTCACCACAATTTTACGTGCACCAAGCTGATATAATCTCTATATATGTGTAAAAAACAAAAACAAAAACAACAAATTTGGTGTTAAATGGTTGCCACTAATTGCCAAATATAAAAAGAAAAAGGAAAAAAAATCCATCTCTATAATTAGGTCAAGGCAACCATCTAATTAATTTGAGGTTACATCTGATAATTCATGCATCTGTGTCATATATGTTTCATGTTAAGCACGTACAAAATATAAAAATTGTTGTGTTACAATTTCTGTGAATATTTTAAATATAAGATATATTTTTTAATTTTTATCAAATTTATATATTTTTTTAATTTTAAACTGTACTGCTTTTATATATTTTTCATATCGTTTACATATTATGTATAAAATTATCAAAAGATTTAGAATATTTTAACATTGGTTCTGACTAATTTACCTGTAAATGCTTGGATAAGTCTTTAATGAGAAGTTGAGTATAATAGTTCTCATCATAGAAATAGCGCAGTCCATCCCACTCGATATCCAAGTCATACGCAACACTATTGATAAAAAAAAGTGATTTTGACAAGTATCTAGAAAAACTTTCCTTGCTTTGAAATTGACTCTGCAACCCTTTGTTGTGCTCTCGAACAAATCTACTTGCTCCTTCAAGCTTGGCATTCGTTCCTGATGAAATTACAAATTCTACTTAAGAAAAAAGAGTGTTTGATAATACAATATGTCCAAGAAAAAAAAAAACAAACAAATAATATGAAAGAAAAATTATGCAAATTAGGGTGTCTTACAAACAGTTTTCCAAATTTTTCAAGGATGCCAGTGAAACCGCAAGCATAATTTATACCAGTTTGAGGAATTCTCTTATCTCCCTTAGACAAGCTTAGCACAGGAGGAGGGAATGGCAAGCCAACAATTTGAGCTGCATAATTATATTAATAAAAAATAAAGTAATCAATAATTTTTACACGAGAGTAAAAATTGAGGACAACACAAAAATCAATAACTTGTAATTCATTAATTTTTTATTTTCATACCAATGAAATCCGCTACTGTTCTTCCGTTGGTGTAACGACCCGTAGGTTTTCCACCAAAATCTATTCCATATGGAGTATAATTTCTTTCAATTTGCGGGACATGAACATAATTATTATTTCCCGCATCAACATAAGAGTCTCCAAATACGTATAAAGCTGGCACATCAAAGTTGATGTTCTCTAAGGATAAATATTTCAAAATAGATTTTTTACTTATTATAAATGGAGGTACTGTAACAACATCTGCAGAACCAAGTGAGAAGAATTGATATTGAAGCAAGAGGAAGAAAATGAAAATGCAATTGATTATTTTCATGATCTTTTCTTGACTAGGAAAAAACAAAAGTTGGTATTGTACTATTGATTTATTTATGTACTTTAAATTAGTATTTATACTGAGCATTTGCCTTTTCGGTTTACAATGTTCAATGTCGACATTCCAAAATTAATAACTTTACGTTACTTGCTTTTAACAAGCTTTAAATGTTATAAGGTTCGTTTTTGAACAAATAATCGTGATAATTACTCTTTTTTGCAAAATATATCAAGCCTTCCATTTCATAATATTTTATTATTAAAATATGAAAAATAATTATACAACAATATTTTTAATATTTCAAAATTAAAATTAATAAAAAAGATGAGAACAGAACAAAGAAATACCTTTCGTGCTATTGCTCGTTCTTACTATATATGCTGTGTTAGGTGGGGGCTTGCAGATGTTTCGAATTGCTGAAACAGGCAAACAACTTATTTTGCTCCATAAAATTATGGGGTACATTAACTCATTTCAGCCACCATAAATCTTAAGGTACATATAATTAATGAATCGTTAAAATTAAAACCAAGGATTCGATTCGATCCCTTCCAGATTTATAAGGACTTGCATTTACACTTGCCTGAACTCGCTGAAATTTCAAATTGACTATATAATTTCTTTGTTACGTAATGGCTATAACTTTAAAGCCTAGCAAGAGGAATGGTTAAAAATGCACACTTCCTTCTTTATACAAAAAGTCAGGATAAAAGATTAGCCCTTTTTTTTTTTATTAGCAATAAAAACAAAAGTTGTTCTGACTACTTACAAGCAATGAGAAAGAGAAGTAAACTGTTAAACATTCAACTTAAAATCAATTGACATAAAGAGAAGCTAATTGATTTTAAGTTAATGTTTAATACAAACGCTGACAGATATTCATTGGCAAATAAGAAAAGGGACTTAAGCATACACCATCAGGGAGATACGGCCATGGAAGGTAGAGAATCTATATCGAAATAGGCACTATAAATCTGGCATTCTAAAATACAGTAAGATGATAAGAATCGAACAAAATACAAAATAAAAACATAAAAATGATATGTAATTTTCGTATAAAATATTATATGAATTTTAATATTTTACACAACACGAATATATGAATAGCAAAGTATACTCAAAATGAATCAAAAAGAAAAAAACCCATTATTAAAATACTAAAATGCACTTAACCAAGGCATAAAACACAAGAGAGTGCAGCGGTGAGGAGAGGAACTAAGAGAAAAAAAAAAAAGGAAAGTGGGAGTGTAGCGATGGCTGTGGCTATGGAAGGATGACAAATTTCTTTTGTTTTAGGGTGCTTTGGGGCTGTTAAGAGATCATGTAGCAAAGTTGAGAAAAGCGAAGAAAATTAGGGTTTGGGTGAAAAAGAAGACAAGCTTATGTGGCAAATTGTTTAAAATAACTTACATGGCTGCTTACGTGACCAATTTGGTACGTATTAAAATTTAGTAATCACTTTTGGATTTTAGTGATAGAAGGTGACTAGAGGTGAAATTTACTCTCAATTTTAAAAGCAAAATTTGTCGTAGTTCTCAGGTTTTTGGAGAGTGGAATCTAATAAGCTTTAGCCTTTAGGTGTCAAAACTTTGTATAATCGTCATCTTATTTTTATAGTAAAATTTTTCATCATCTTTATCCGTGGACATAGGTTTAAAGCCAAACCACAAATTATTGTTTGTTATTTTCACAAATTATTTTTTTGTTGCGAGTTCAAATTCTTTTATGGTGAATTTGCTTGCTGTCATTTTGACTTGCTTGGATTAGTTACAACAAACTGATATCAGAGCTTGGTTCAAAGAAGTCAAGGAATCTTGTATGAACTTGATTCATGGTAGAGTAGTAAATCAATATTACACAACTATAAAAGCTTGTATATGTCATAATGTATAAATTTGTAAACTCACCGCTAGATATAATAAGAGAAGTGGTTACTAATATTTTTTATCTAGGTGCGATTAATCAGTTAATTGAATTCGTCCCATTTTAAAGCGAAGTCTCAAGTTTGATTTAGGTATCTTTAAAAGATAGGTTCTAATCCACACAACTAGATTTAGGTCTAGGAATATGGTTACGTTCGAGGAAGGTTTTAGTACCCTTACAACTCCCGTCCAAAGGATGGTACCAATTTGATTTTATATTATCCAAGCCTTAAAATGTATTTGTAATTTTACCAAATAAATTTAATACTGAAACTTGATCTTAAAGTTATTAGAATTATTCGATAGTAATTTAAGATAATTTTCTTATCTCGAGAATATTTGTGGAGACTCGTATCCCACTCTAAAAGGACTCCGTCATCGAATTCATTAATATGTTTTTCAAGAAATTAATATTTGAAAACAATCAATAAAATCCTCTAATCATTTGGTAAGATTTTATTTTGATGCACATTTCCCAATAGTTTGGTGAGATTTTTATTTAAAAACTTTTCCATGAAATGTTTTTATAAAATCAATAAATCTTCCAATGGTTTGATAAGATTTAATTCCATATTTAAATCCTCCATTCGTTTGGTAGGATTAAAATTTTTTTCTCAAAAATTCATATGAAATTCTCCAATCATTTGGTTTGATTCATAATTCAAGATTTAATTTCTCTAATCATTTGATAGGATTAAAAAATAATTTATTTTCACAAAAATTTATTTTGAAATTCTCCAATAATTTGGTAGAATCCATAATTTAGAATTAAAATTTTCCAATCATTTAGTAGGAAAAAAAACTATTTTTCAAAATTCATTATGAAATTTTCCAATCATTCAGTATGAATTGACTGAAAGTGTGAGGTAAGTAGATGGTAGGATAGGTTGATAGGGGTAAGGTGCTACATTTTTCACAAATGGATAATGAATTGGATACATTGGTGGTGGGTATTGGGACAAACATCTGAATTGTTGATTATCATAGCTCACAGCTTGAGTTTCATTCTCCTTCTTCTTCAATATTTCACTTTTTTTCATGTTGGTTATCTCTCATCCACCTAGCTTGCCATTCTTGATGGCATTTTCAATTATCTCACCAAAGTTTACCATGTTAGCAAAGTTCTTGGTAGCATTTCCTATCATTTTCTTATAGTAAGGAGCCTTAAGGGTACTACAAACAAGACGGTGGTTTTTTTCTCAATAAAAGGTGGTTGGACCTAAGCAGTCATATCTCTCCACCTTTAGGCATATTTTTTGAAAGATTTTGTTGCTTTATTCTCCATACTTTGCAAAAAGAAGAGGTTTGGAGCCAAGTCTATGATGTGCTAGTATTAGGTAATAAATGCCCTTGTCAATTCCTTTCATGAAGTAATGCGAGCTTTGTCCAATTAAATGCACCATCTAGTAGCAAAACTAGTAAGGTTGTCTTGGAATATGGGTATTAACAATTTCTCGTCACTTGTATAAGTGACCATCTTTTGACAGTACATAGTTATATGAGTCGGTGGACACTTAGTACCATAATATTTTTTGAACTCCAAGACTTTGAACTTTGGTGGGATAGGTACATTAGGTACTAAATAAAGACCGGCTGCATCCGTAGAGTCATAAAGTTCAATTCCTTCCATGGCTCGTAACCTCTTTTCAAGTGGATTCATCTTTTGTTCAAAATTTGAGTCCTCTAAAGACTTGACAAACTTCAGCTTCAACTTTTCCCCTTCCTTTTGGATCGTCCAAATTAGGGATTGGAACTAGCTCCACTATCTTTTTTATGAAAACATGGTTATCATAACTTTGAAAATGCTTATGGATGTAGATGGCATTCTTAGGTAAGTATACCTTATAGGGAATATGAATTGTTGTGGTGGAATGCCTTGAATGGGCTGGGCTTGATATAGGCCATAGTCAGGAGGATATACAGGATTGATTACATCCTATGATGGATGGTCTTCTTGGCTAGCATCTTCTTCCATAGCTTTCCCTCTATTCAACTTGTTTAGGGTTTCTAAAATTTTACTTAACTCCTTTTTCGAGTTTTTCTTAGGCCCTCTTTATTTTTTTTCAAAATGATTTATTTTTTCATGTTTCATTTGTCTAGCATGAGCTCTAATGTAAAATTGATGGTGAGTTTTTTTAGTGGGGTTCTTAGATGGTCGAGCTATCCTTAAATTTTTGCATCGTAATTTATGATTAGAATGATGTCTAACTACAAATTTATGCAAAAAAAAAAAGAGAAATTATAAATGTATGAATAGATACATGCTCTGAATGCTATCACATAATAAGAAAGAAAGAAAAAAATCCTTAATTAAAAATTAAAAATTATTCTGACAATAATATAAAAAAATTTTAAAAAAATCCTAAAATCTATTGCCTAGTTTTATACTTCAACTTCAAGATCCTGGTGCTGCTGTGGATAAGTTCTTCAGCCATTATGATTGGGCAATGACTTTTTAACAATCTTAGGCTCTCCTTCATCCTCAAAACTCAATAAGCTAATTTTGATCAAACTTTGCACTTTATGTTTCAAGGTAAGGCAATTTTCTATCAAATGGCTTATATTCCTGAAATGATAATCATACCAAGTATTAGCATCATACCACTTAAGATAAGGAGGTTTTAGTGGCTCTAATGAACTAGTGTGATCATATAGTTTTAGAGAAGTAGTGGGAATAACTCATTTTAAGTCATAGAGATTAGATCAATGATGGCTCTTTCTTTCTTTTTACTCAATGATTTTTTTGGGTAAGCTATGGTTAGACTTACAAGTGCAAGTCTTGGAGTAGAATTAGGTGTATATGCTTAAGGGTTCATTGGAAAACTTGATTGTTGGATTGACTGATAAGCATTGTTCATAATTGGGACATAGTATGGGTTTGGGCCAATCTGTGAAGGTTGAACGAAAGCAAGTCTTGTTTGAGGTGCCAACAATGGTTGTTGAGGTTAGGGATAAAGATTTGGGTATAAGCCAATCTAGAGGGTCAGCACAAAGTTAGAAAGCCC